ATGTGCTTCGATATTAAAATTAAAAAGTTTAAATATCAAAAAAAAATAGTTGCTTGGGATTTGAACCGCCGAACTTACATACCAACGGCGGCGAACGGTAAGGCCACGAGACCAAACTAGCATATATGATGACAAACTTAAATTTGATGTTGGTTTTATCTACGTAATATCTGTCATCCGCGTCGAACACTTTTAGTAAATTTTGAAAAATGTTTTGATGCAAAGTGTCAAATGAATGTAACAGAAGTAGTTTATTCCAAATTGTATCACAAGTATATAGAGATAGAGTTCAATTTTGTCAAATGTACCGATATTTTTGAGCACCTTGACTGCTTCGTTACTTATGACGCTGTGGATGCTACGATATTTATGAGCATCTTGCATGTACTCATATATTTGACGCTGTGTATGTACCGATGTTTTTGAGCAGGGTGAATGTATCTATTATTTTGAGGACTTTTGTTGTACCGATATAATTGATTACTTTTGATGTACCTATATATTTGCATATCTTGTCTGTGACGATCTATATGACGCTGACTGTACATACAACACCTCATACAATATATCTGACATTTAGATATATGTCACCTACTTAGAACCAAACCAGGACCGGATCAGATAAACTTTATATTTTTTCCTTATTACCCATACGCAAAATACGCATCAGTCATTGAAAAATAATCTCTTATTTGTTTAAATTTGAAAATAATTAGTATATTTAATGCTGTATATTGTTAGTTGGATTAGGTATAAATTTCGAATTTAAATTTTATTTTCAGCCTAATTGCTATTCTCGTGTCGTGGATATCCATGGACACAAGCACATTCTCATCTTCGCACTGCGGCGCATCACGGTCGGCGAGGAGTTGACGTACGATTACAAGTTTCCATTCGAAGAGGTCAAAATACCGTGTACGTGCGGTGCCAAGAAGTGCAGAAAGTACCTCAACTAGACAAGTGAAATAACAGTGTGTGAGTGTCAATTAACGCCTCAATTAGGCGAGTGTTAACAAAAACAAGTACAGAAAACTAGCATAGCATTACAATGAATTGTCTGTGTAGTGTGCCTAGTTTATATTTCGCGACGTATGAGCTATGGCTCTTTATTACTGGCTTTATTCGTTAGCATAATTTAATAAGTACATAATGGATTTAGACGTAATATTTTTAATGAAAGATTAAACCCGATAAGACGTTTTAACCTCGGATGCGGTGTCATGATGGATCTCCTTGTAATGGATTTTGTGAGGAATGTGCAGTTAGAAATACTGGGTCGAGCACAATTTTTAAATGTAAATAATATGTATTGTAAGACAATAAGTCAAATTCACATATCTCTTTCCCACCTTTTTAGTCTTGACATAATCAGTGCCACAATTGGACATGCGTTTCCATGAATCTTATTATGATCTCTTTTATTTTGAATCTACCCAGTGTTTGGAATCGTTGGATCATGTATATTATATTGATTTATACTTAAAAATATATCCTTATTTTGTGATAAGTTTTTTTTATATGTATACTTTGTGTAAATATTTTAGTTTCCCCTTTACGTACGATTGTTAAGGTTCGGCAAAGCATAGTGTTTACACTTGAAGTGGATGTGATATGTTGGGCCCTGCTCGGGCGGGAATGGTTAGTGTTAGGGTACAATGTAATTTGTTCCTTATTTTGTTTTTACATTTCATCATTTTTACATTCTTGTGATCGTTTAAGTCTCGACTTGTAAATAAGTTTTAACATGCAAGTACATTTGGGAAAGGATTAGGCAAGTCGCAAGTACAATGTTACATTTTTTTTATTAATTCTAATGTGTAATGTATAGCGAATTTGTAAATAAGAGGAATTATTTGTCATAATAATTTTATTTAAGCGACAAATCGTTTTATTGTAGTCATAGTGTTAAGTTGTATTTTATAAGCGTTAATGTACTGTATATAATAAGTTATTAGGTGTGCGGGATGAGACGGGAGATGTTGAATTTGGTGGAATGCTCATAAAAACAAAATGGCTCCCAGTCAGGCACGGTTTAAAGAGAAAATGCACATTTGTTAGCTTTAATGTATTTTCAGCACAGCTTGGGTTTTAAAACACATAATTATTTTACTTTATTAATGTTATACAGTTATATATGTGTAAATGGATGAACCAAACTTAATAATAATTTTAAGCATCACACTTGTCATCACAATTTATCATCACACCAATAAAGAGTTTTGTTACATCCCATAAAAGCCAATATGTGTAGATATGATAGAGAAAGGTAATAAATAGTCTTAATATATTAGTTGGATTTATCTACTGCATCTTACAATAGCAGTATTAATGTAATGTCGTTCCCAAGTATTTTATATAAACGGTCTATAGCAGAATATACATATAGAGTTAGTTTCCAAAACAATCTTTTACATTATACATAATCAATATCAGTGACATATAAACATTTATATTTTAGTGAAAATTATATAAAACTGGCCGATAAATCTTAATATCGAAAAATTTTGTCAAGTAAAAATTTACAAGTTTTCTTTTTAAAAATCAAATTATTTTTTTTTGATAAACATTAAAATATAAATATTTATATTGAAAATAAATTTAAATAATTACGGACCTAGTCTTAACTCTACATTAAAATCTAGTTATATTGTAACAACAGTGAGCCATTATTTCTTCTTTACATAATATACACAGTGGTTGTTATTTTGTTTACATTTGATATGTGAAGGTAGTCGAAAAAAAGTTAACTTACATCGAGTTAATATGATAATAAAGTTAAAAGTACAGGTAATTTTAATGACTATAAAATTATAATTAACATCTATTTTTTAAATATTTAGTTTTGTATTTGAATAATATTAACATGAATTTCACCTTTCCTATACCTTGGTTTTATTTTATTTTCAATTATTCGGAGCCCAGTATTGTAATGATTTTAAATAATGATTTTTTTTTTATAAGTTAATGATTAATTTGATGTAATAAAAATCATGCTTTAAATTGTCTGTGCATGTTTAATTTGTTAGTCTTTTAAACAATTATAAATGAATTAGAAAAGACCAAATCACTAAGTGATGAATCATTATTTTTTTTTAAGTGTAAATGTCTGCTCTTGATATTATTTTGTGTTAAAAATAATGCTTTTATTTTTAATGTACACATGCCATTTTGCCTAATGTTATTATAAATTATATTATATTGCTTTAAAAGCACCAACTTTACAATGCATAGTTCTATGACCTGTCTACATTTATTACTTTATTTATTTCTATCATTATTTTGTATTGTGGTAAATTTTACCAAAAATAAAAATACTAAAATGTGCTTTATTGCTTGTTTTATTTTAAGATACTGAGATAACTTATATATTCCATTTTAAAATACTTATGAAGATAATCAAAAAAATCGGTTTTTGAAACACCAGCCTTTTTAGAATGGTTACTGTAGTTAGCATTCTTTTGGAGTTTAAAAAAAGATTGACAAGCTCTTACTTGATACATGACTATATTCGAATTATTGTTTCAAATAAAACTGTTGATATTTTTAAAATGATTTATATTTGTAATGCCAAGCCAAAAACATTAACAATGCAGTACATGTATTTATTTTCCCAACGAACGGTACAGGTCGCATCAGTCGCTGTGTCCCAAAAGTAAGCAGCAGCGGTATGCAGGCCCGCTCCGTTTCTTTGAGTTATTGTTATTCTCACTACAAATATTAGTAGTATTAACAACTAGTGACCAATGACTGACTAGTAAAGGAGATTGACTGACTACAGAATAAGAATGAATGACTATTAAATAAGAATGACCGATTAGTAAAGAACATGACTACTAAAGAAGAATGACCAACTAGTAAAAAAGAATTAACAACAGCTAAAGAATATTCTTACATATGTATTTGAAAGGCTTATTTAATTTATTCAATCTTGATAAAGTTTTTTCAGTAATAATAGAAATCCATTGCGGCGTACGTGAATGACTGTAAGTATTGCCTCCAAGACAAAGTTCAATGTTGTCTCTCACAATTTTTTGGACCTCTTCTACATTAAACACAATATTCTAAAATGTAATAATAAAGTATTTTAGTAAACTCATAACGACTAGGATCATTTTTAATCAAGAACACAATTGTTTTTCTTTGAAGTTCAATAATAATTAAATATACCTCGTCATCATCAGCATTCGCCATGTTTCAAATTTCATTTTGAAATCGATTTTACTGTAGACAGTAATATATTTTTCTTCATTTTCCAGTCAGAGTTTCTAAATGTGTAGACTTCATGAGGCTTTACACTTTGTTGGTGGTATAGGGTACATTCGAATTCGAAGATCTCTGTTAGGTTCTACCGAATTAAACCAAACAGCTGTTAAAAACTTAAAAACAAATAATTTTTAACGTTTTTGTTTTCATATATGAAATAATTTGTGTCAAAGTTATTCTTGATTTCATATTTACAAACGACACTCAAGTTTTCACTGACGACATTTCAAATGTCAAATGGGCAATTTCCGAACTTCCGAACGAATTTTTTCATAACCCACTTCAAAAGCTTATTTTCTATTGTGTTTTTGGAATGTTTGTTTGGCGTTTTAGTTTATTTTTAATTATAAAAAGTCATAGACGGGGTGAATAACTTGTATAATGTTGTCGTAGTTGGATAAGCAGAAGTTAATTTAAGTGGATTGTTTGAAATTAATGGAGTTGAAGGTCTGGGTCGAAGGAATACAAAGGATTGTTTGTGGAGTGACGGAGACTACTACATGCCAAGTGAGTACCATTTCCCATCATTTCTAATCAGTATTTGTATCAAATGTCTGATTCATTAATTGCGAGTTGGAAATATACTTTGCCAGAAGTATTGCAAATAATCATGATATCTATTTAGGGAACGAAATGCATCCAAATAAAACTAACGTTATCTGAATGGCTCCTAAGAGAAAATGATTAGGTTATTTGCTTAATGTTAAAGAAATCTATATTTAAGCTATTAATTTTTATTAAATCATGGAAAATTTAAAAGACAAGAATATATTTTTAGGATGTAGTCTTTGCTCTAGCTCATGCCACTGGAAAAGTGGGCCGATTTACGTTGATAGAGAGATGGAGGAATAATGAACGACTTTTAGCACCTCAGGAATATCCCCTAAAGGTAATGTTATAAATGTATATTTGAAATACATCAATGTTAAAACTTATATATAATTGTTAAAAATCTGTCAAGCATATCATTTATATGCATTGCAATTAATAAAACAACTAAATAGATAATGATAATCTTTGTTATTTGACTGGTCAATTAATTTGAGTCTTCTGTAATCCTCATCCTGCTATCTCCGTCTGTATATAATTTGCTTTCATTCAATTGAAATTTTACAGATTCTTATGAAATGGGGGGAGTATTCCAACGACATACAATTTATATTAAGAAGATCAGATTCAAGCAGTAACCAAAAACCATCACAACCCTTAAATAATTCTAGATCACCGATTGGAAATGGGTTTGTTCCTTTTATGATATAAATTTTTTAAACAAACTACTCAAGTATTGGATTAACATTGCATTAGATTCTATTATTTTCATAATGATATTGCATATCGGAGACTACATTTCTATAAAATACATAAAAGAGTTTTTTTGTAATTAAATTACATTACACAATATACTTAATTAATTTTTATTTTTGGTAGGAGTAATTCGAATCCTAATGATAATCAGAACTCACCAAATAGAACGAATACAACCCCTACATTTAATAACAATGTGAATAACACATCCCCGGGGAACCCTGTAGGAGTGGTGAAGGGAGTGCAACAGGCCAAGCCACCCGAGTCCAATAGTCCTGTCTTAAAAGACGTTCCACCTTACAGGTAATGTTAACACACCTATTTAACTTATATATTTAACCTCTAGTGCCTTAACAATTGTACATAAACATCTTATATCTCTCTAAACTAGCTTCCAACTATTAAGTGTAACTTTTTCTAACATTTTATAGTGTCTTACCACTAAACATATAAATAATCATCAAAATAGAACATAACTAAGTGCTAAGGATTAACTAATTAAAAAAACAATTATAACCTAAAACTAATGATTCCACAATATCCAGAGATCCACCGCCTCCATACCGTTCGCCGCCACCACCACAGACAAGAAAATCACCCAGTCGAAGGGGACCTACACACATGTCACCAGTGAACTTACCTGAAGACGGCTCCGACTCACGGAGCCCAGAGGCTGTTACTTACAACAGCCAGTATAGAGAACTAGTCTCACTTGTAAATTATCAGAGAGAAAAATTATCCAGTCAGCAAGTTGATCTTATAAAGGTATGGATTTAATTTTTTTGGATGTCTACAATATTTAACTTTACATATCCTTTATTTAATTACTGGACTAAAAGTCTCCTTTGTCTTTTTAAATTAGTTAATAGGAAACCCATATTCTTACATGCTTTGATTCGTAGCTCGTTTGCCCCCTTCTCCTATAAAAAAAAATGCTGTACCAACATATAGATGAACAAATTGGCAACATTGTGTTATTTACTACAAATTTGAATAAAATGATTTATTTTTAATTCAGTATGATGCAGAAATTGGTTACTGGGAGAACAAAGGTCGGGAACAAGATAGGCAGGTGGAATTACTGCAACAACAGATCAGCTCAGCCGATAATCAGTTGAGGATAAGTACTGAACAGGTAAACAAAGGCGTATAAACACTTTTCACTACTAATTTGATAGCCATGCTTTTATTTTTTTAATAATTGCACTTGTTTGTTTAAACTTTGATTAGAGGCTTTTATTTTTAAATAGGAATAACATTATTTCGAATATTTTAATTGAAATTCCAATACTAGGTGCAAGCATTAAACTACGTTGAAGAGGAGAGTGAGATAGTTAAACAGAATGAGAAGACGATCAAATCAGAGATTGTATTAGTGCGTTCCAAGTTAGCAAACTGTGAGACTGAACTACTGCAGTGCAAGAACAAGATACGGAAACTAATGGAAGAGATTCACAATGAACAGAGGATTATTAACTCTCGGCAACAAGAAAACAGGTAATTTTTGCTTTTTTTTATTAAAAAGAGGAATTTACTTTGTAAGATATTTTCAAATTAAACCTCATTTTTTTATAATCTATAACTACTCTATAAGTAACGAGTGTTTTAATTCAGGCAGGCATTAGAACGCTCTATGTTAGCCGAGATGGAAAATTTGCAGACTCAGATACAGCAAGCGAAACATGCCACAGAAATAAATCACCTTACCGCTGAGAATTTAAAAAGAGAGGTAATTACTATTTATATATATACAGATCCGATTTTAAAATTGCTATTTTGTTTATTAACAACACGCACTGGGCTAGCGTGGTTAAGTATGGCCTAGTCACCCCTAAAGGTAGGCTCCGACCCCCTCAAAGCCGATATATAGTGAGCTGATGAAAGAAGAATTTTATTTATTACAGTCTGTGATTTTAATATTTATGTTATTTTATTTTTAGGTGGGTGTATTAGAAAATGCTATAATGGAGAAGAAACGACAAGTGGAGCGTTTGGTACAAGAAATGAAAGAAGCTAACCTTCAGAGTTTGACGGGCAGTGTGGACGAATTAAGACATCCCTTAGACGGTATGTGTTTGGCATTTTAATGAAAAAAAATCATCAATTAATGATTCATGAAAATTAAAATTAGAATCGTTATCATTATTTCATGATTTCAGATAACTATTATAATGTTGTTGTCATTCTTTAAAACAATATCATATTTTTAGGTTTATGTAAAGCTGGGAGTGCTCGTAGGATAATTGGTTCTCCAAGACAGCTGGAAAACGCAGCCCCCACCAACAAGAATCCTCACGGAGTATGGGTCTAGGATGGACAATAATGTATGTAATTTAAATACATCAAATACGATCTTATTTATTCACACTGTTCATAAAACATCTTGTTTACTTCTATATTTTAATAATTTTGTTTCGTTGACCAAAATATAACGAAAAAAATCACGAATTTATGAAAAAATTCCCCGCTTTAGCACAAATTTGATGATTTTGAAAATAACATTTGTCATATATTTTTTGTAGTTATAAAAATTTAGTTTTGTTCAGTGATAATATAATTTAAATATTCAAAATTAAATATAGGAAATCATATTTTTTATTTTATCAAATAATGGAGCGTAACCAATGACTATAACTGAAGTTTTATCTTGTTTTTTTCTCAATCAAAATTGGTCTTTTAATAGTCTAAAATTAGATTCAATTGAATAAACAATATGTAACTTATGTGCAAATATCTGATTTTGACCTGAAATTTATATAATATAAAACCTCCTTATGTTTGCTTATTAAGACGATGATCCCACCAAATTTATCCTTGGACTAATTAATATTTGGTGAAATATTACAAAAATGTCCATTTAAATTGCTTTTATTCGGATTGTATCAGAAACTAACTATATTTAATTGATCAAGTTTTAAAAAGGCATTTTGTGAAAAACAATAGACGTTTTCGAAAAAAAAAATGTTTTATTCTAAATTTATTATTGGCTGAATGACAGACTTGCCTTCAAGTGAATGAATTTTTACATTTATTTGATAAACTGCCATATGTAACTCATATGTAATAAATTTATTTATAAGTTTTTTTTTATTTATTAGGTTTGTGTTCAAATTAGTGTCATATTAAAAAATGTCACAAATATTTTGTAGACATGTTTTAAAGTGTGTGCATTTAATAATGTGTTATATATTATAATAAGTAAATGTAGCGTGTTTTATTAACAATTTTTAGTATTACTGTATCTTGCCTGTATTTAGACTCGAAATTGTTTTTTTTTTGTATAATATAGTTGTAGATGTATTATGGATTTGTAAGTGAAGTTTTATAAATTGGGGTAAGATTTTATAATATTGTTTGACGAATTTTGTGTCTTAATATATTTAAAACAATTTTTTTCATTTTTTTTAAAAATCATAAAATTACATGCATAGTTTGAACATTCTGTATACGTTCAAAATAGTACTAAAAATATTTTTATCTGACCCTATCTGTACTGTATTATTAAGTAGCTAAAATCAAAGCTTAATATCAAGTAACTATTTAAACAAGTTTTCTGCCAGTATAGAAACCCATATGAAAATATTGCCTACACTAAATTTAACATTTGTAAAACTCGTTCTATGTATTTCCAGTGATTATCAAAACACGTATTAAAATAATTAAAACTTCAAGCTTCTCATTTTAATAGTATGCGTGAGACAAAACTATGTTATCTACAACATATAATAATTTATGAATTTATAGATATACGGACAAAGTTATCTGACTCTTGGTGGGTCTAAACTATGATAGCTCACTAGCGCCCCTCTGTCAATGTCAAAAAAGTCAATATGCTTATATTGTAGCTGGCTTGTCATGTTTTTTTTTCATTTTCTTTGCCTATGTAGGTTCTATATATTTTCTGACGGAACTAATCGCGATAGCAGCGCCTCTTACCGGTCCAGATAAGCGTTTAGCACTTTACAACATAGTAATAATTATATTGATAATAATAATCTAGTCGGAAATATAAGCCATTGCAATATGTTAATAAATCAATGATATAATCTCATTTTTAGACAATTTTCATAACAATTCAGCATGCCTTCAGGAAATGTAAGAATTCAAGATAAAAAGTGTATTAATAAAAAATATTTCTAAGACTTGAATATTATTTATAAAGTTTAAATAAATATTATTTCACATGGTTACTATAGTTAGATAAATTGTGTATAACTGCATTGTATCAATTAAAAAATATAAGAAATCTTTTTATTTTATTTATAAATATCCTTTTTCAGAACTGAATAGGCTGCTAAATGAAAAAATGTCATAATATGAAGGTAGTATAAAATCTGGCTGAAAATATTTCTTCTTTTGCCACAAAGAAATAATTTTTTAGTTATTAAAAAACTTTCAAGTGAGTAGTTTGCAGTGTAACCGATTTTAAGATAAACATTGGCATGTGTTATTTGTACGTCGACCAAGATAAAGGTTTGTACAATTCAATACTCAATGTTTACAAAACATTATTAGTAAGATACAGACTGAAAGGCAAAATACATTACTACAAGTTAAGTGGGAAATTGGTTTTTTTATGAAAATAAACACACAAATTTTATTTTAAACCTTATATTCAAAATAACTAAAATCTTTAGGTATTGACTATACCATAGAAAAATCACTTTTTACAAGATAATTACAATAAATGCGTAAATTACAACGCTGTACTTTAGTTTCTATTATAATGTCTATAGTTTTTCTCTCGTTATACGACACATACATGTATATTTACAGTTTTCCTCTTGTAAAGGATTTTAAATAATAAAATAAATACTAAATACTTTTCATTCATCGCTCCATAAAAACAGGAATAAGGAAAATACTATAATTTTTTCCCTACTATAGTTACATTGGAGAATGTTGTGAATTAATATTTAATAGTCATTTTTAGTATTATGAAATAATAAGTATTAATTAGCTATTTATTGCGAACCAAAATCTTAAAACCTTTTTTTTAAATTAAATATAGTCGTTTGTAAACAATTTTTAAGATTCAATTAATCAACATTCGAGAGTTTGAAGCATTTTAACCGACTTCAAAAAAGGAGGTTCCATATTTTTTCTATCAACTTGCAAGTAATATCGTACAACAATGTCGATCATTTATTTAGTGCGCGCTGTTATTAAATAACTGGCATTACAGTAGTAAAAACATTATAAATAAGCTTTCTCACTAGTTCTCCGAAAAAGTAATTTGTGTATGAACAAATTAAATAGAGCAATTTTTTATGTTGTAATGATTATTGTCAATCAACACTAACTTTCGCGCTTCCTTTGTAACCTCAAAAAGAAATAATATAAATGTCACTACTACACACTATTTGAGGTTATTTTTTTTTGGCGCGCATTTATACCGCCAGTTCCATATAGCTATTGCGAGTATTTTCATCTCTGAATGATTTACGTAAAACAAGTTTTTTGCAAGACTTTTTGTGATATCGTTCCGCGTAGTCAAATTATAGCTGTTACTACATTCTAAGAGAAACGATTCGTCATTGTGTAAGACTTATTTTTATTAAGTAGGTAAAGAAATTAACTTGCGAGTATCATTTAAATTAAAAATGTTAACTAAAGAGTACCCCGAAATCCATAAATTAAAGAATATATTGTATGCCAGCTTTATTAATAGTTAAACTTGGTTATTCATTGTTGTTTTAGCTTATATCCAAAGACGTATAAGTTAACAAGGCATATTAAAACAGATTACCATATTTTTTGAAGTCGGTTATTTTCTTTGCAGTATAGCCATTCCATATTGCCATATTATATACAATAACAGGCCCAGTACAGTCAAATCAGAAAGAAAACCGAATTATCATAGCTGCCATCTCACATTATTGACATTTTTTTTTATTTATTGAGTTTATCTTAGTTTCTTTAGCTGAATAACCGAGATAATATTCATGATAAATGTTTTTGTATCATACATTTTTTAACTGTATTCTCTGTTACATTATTTAATACTTACAAAATTAAACTGAACTTTAAATTTAATTTAGGACTACAGAGATTACTGCTTAGGGCCGTTTATGTTTAAAAGTTTGTGGCAAATAGACTTGTATATTTGTGCAATTAATTAAAAAACCTTTCATACTTTTATCGAAACAAAGTTGAACTGTTTACATCTATAAGGCGGAACATTTCAACTGAACTCAAAATGAGGTAATTTTTAATTATTATATATTTTGCAACATTTAGATAATTATAGATATAACTAAATATTACTTAAAACAAAGTCACAACATAGACTGTATCAGTTAGAACCATGGGTTAATATAAAAAATAAATTATAATGCATCCATTTAAAGTATAACCGTATCATTTATTAAGATCACTTTGTCACAAGTTGACATCACATCAATCACTATGCTTTTTCTTCCTTTTCTCTGTTGTACCGTTCGAGTTCCTTAAGAAATTGTCCCTTCGGTTTCATTACATTGGGTCTGTCACCGCGACATTTGGGGCAAAACCACTTACCCTTAGGTTTGGTAGTGAGGGAGACGCATGAGAAATGGAACCACTCGATGGGGCAGAGATCATTGTCACATAATATCATTTCACCGAATGATATTTGATCGCACAGACAATATCTGGGCTCGTCAGGATCAATTGGATCATTCTCTTCGGGCGGTGTTTCTGAACGTTGTGCTGCCTGTCTCGCTTTGCGTTTTTTCTTCTTGCCAATACCTAGAAACATGTGACGAGTTAAAATGTTGAACCACATTTAACATTCATAATTAAAGATTTAACATAACAAAACATATATTTGGGGATGTTGTGGAAAATCTTTTGAAGGTTAAAACATATGTGTACCTTTCTTATGGGTAGTGTTATGTGCATGTCGCTCACTATCCCGCTCGCTGGAGTCCGCGCCATCAGTCGCCGCGTTGGTTGTAGTGCGCGACCGCCGCGCTCTCTTTGACCACCTTTCACCTACAATATTCCAAGAGTTAGATTTATACAATATAGGAAGATGCGTGAAGTTAACAAATATTCAATTTTAACCTTAAGTTTATTGCGATAAGGGTGGAAATTAGTTGGTGAGTATCATAAATGTTTTATTACTAGACTTTTTGATAAGTTTTGTCCCCTAACAGAACTAGAGTTCTTTTGTTATAACAAAATTGACTTTATTCTTGATACATAAGTATCATATTATACATTTTAAAATGTTAAACTGTATTGTATAATTAGTTTTAGTAGTAATAAGAGATTTTTTTAAATCATGAATTACTATTTAAATAAAATAAATATCAAAGTATTTTTGAGTAAGTTTAGTTTAAATAATAAGTTACCTCCACTTTTATCCCGTTCCTTTTCTTTTTCTTTGTCATTATTTCTTTCAGGTGGAGGTGGCGGCGGTGCATGCTGCTGCGGCGGCGTGCTGCGCTCTTTTTCTCCGGGCCGAAGAGATTCCAATGTTGGTGATGGCTCCTCCTTAACTGTACCATTTGTGTTCACATCAAGGCAAGAGACTAGAAAAAAATGATATAATAGTTAATATGACAACTTTGAAAAATTAAGTGCATTGTTAAATGATTTTAAATCACTATGGCTATGAGTTATTTGTTATTATTTGTATCTAAACTTACTTAGATTTTTATGATCAGCATCAAGAGACCTTTGTTTATTATCTATAAGATCTTGTAGAATCTGTACTACTTGTAATTTTTCATCTCCTATCTCTTGAGCCGCAACCAGCACAGCCTGTAGCCGCAGAGCAGCGCGAGTGCGACGCCTCTCTTCTGTGTTGGCTCCTATGCACACTGCTAAATGTGTTTCAGCATCACGAAGACATTCTGAAGATATAATAATTACATATTATTCTGATGATGTGATACAACAATGTTCATTACATTACTTTTTAACTGGTTTCTGTTAAAATACTAAGCATTTTTGTCAGAAAAACCCAATTTTAAGATAGCATACATCTTTCAGAAATTATGACTTAAGTTCCAAGCTATAATGAATAAAAGTTTATGATATCTAAACAACGAATCGGCAATGAGTTGTACGCTGAGTTATTTTTGAATCTATTATCCCCAAAGTAGCGTCTATACTGCATATGTGTGTACAAGGCATAGAAACACGAAACGTCAACACAACAAAAATAATGTTTAAACTTGAGTTATTTACAATGACATTGATTGTACAATTAAAAGCCTTTGTGTAATTATTTTAGACAGCAAACAAAAGTGTAAAAATCACCTCTATAAGTTACGTCGAGCTCTCGCATACGCGATAAATGTCGCTGCAAATCATTTGGGAGATTTTCGACACAATCTAAGTAATTTTCAACGTAAGTAGCCGAAAGGGCAGCTTCTGTAGATGCCGAATTCAACATGGTTAAAAATTCAATTCAATTTTCATTATTATAACTCTGAGATACCAAAATAATTAAACACTTTCAAAGCTAATAACAAGTTCTTGCACTCAACAGCCGTCACAAGCTTGATTTGATACCTTGATAGTTCGGAAATCAAGAATATGATTTTAAAACAAAATAAACCATAGACAAGTACAAAACAATTTGCTTCGGCTAGTTTACAAGTGAAAAATCTTTACATTCTTAGCTCACTTTATTTATATTCATCAAAAATTACCAACTTGAATTATACTAAGTACCATTAGACATAAATATTGTTAATAACGTTTACACTTTCTCTGAGTTGAGATTTTCCGAACTGTCATTATTTTTTTGAAAGACAAAAAAAGTAGTCGAAGTTGTTTGTCTACTGGATAACAGATGTCGTTATTTTACAGTCCGTCATATGAATGAAAAAAAAAATAGATTAATTTAATTTAAAATGTTTTGCATTCAAAATTACTTTATTTATTATGTCCTTAATACGTATGTCCACTAATATAAGATAATGGAAAACCACTTTCGTTTCTTCTACATCTAATCTATAAATCTACGCAGGCATGCATTTTTTTACAATCAACGCTTGTGGGAAACCGGAAGTCGACTTGGATTAGCATCTACATTTTTAAATTTAGAAGTCTATTAAACTATTAACGCTAGATTACAATAAACCAGCACGTAAAAATATAACACTACTTCAGATGATTAAGTACTTGCAGAATAAACTACTTCTGCCTACACCAAAACTACCCACGTACAATTATTTGTCATAAATAATGTACAGTTCCTCCATAGTACTCGTAGACACTGGCAAGTTACATTGTCTTTTTTCCTTCTTCTTTTATTCGAAAACGTCAAAATTTTGACGGCCAGTCAGTGATTTAAGTTTATACGGGACGATATCATATTTAGTAATTATTCTAAATTATTCGTGATAAGTCTCAAGTGATTGGTTTTCTAATGTCGTCTACGGTGATATTTGTTGGTCTACCGGAGGGATCGAAGAGTTCGGTAACAAAGTACGTAGAATTTGCTCTTAATACATGTATTTATTATGATAGGTGTTTTACAGCTAACATAGGGCCACTCAAGATGGAGTAATGTTGGTTTAGGATAAGGGCTTATCCCTTGATCGTAGCAACTGTTCGAGTTATGTTAAATGATTGAGATTATCAGTGATTTAGACGTCACAGGTGATAAAATAAAGTGAAGTAATAGTGAAGTCCTAAATATACATTTAAGACAATGTTTTTTTAATGTTTGTAAAATGTTCACGAACATTCTTTTCGCTGCAATCGGCTATCTATACCAATATGAGTACATAGTGTAGGCTGTGTCCCGTTTCTATATTGCTAGCTTTTGCCCGCGACTCCGTTGGCGGAATTAAAAAAAGGAAACGGGATGAAAAGTAACCTTTGTCCGTTACCTGGTTTAAAGATACCCTACCAATTTTCAGCCAAATCGTCAAACTTTTAAATTGTGTATCTCATAAACACTGTATCTCATATATTTAGATTTACCTATAATTTTAAATATAATTCAAAACATTTTATAAAAATGAAATAAAATTCCCTACTTCCCTTCTTCTCATTTCACGTCTGATATTAAAGGGATTTACCCTTTAATATCAGATATTGACAATTTTATCGTAAGTTAAATGCTCAGCTACTAAATTCATGACATGTTATGAATTAGTATAGATGCAAGTTATGCGCGCTTAGATCTAATTGAAGGCGTGGGCTGAACAAGACTTATTTTAGTTCGAATCTGTAGGCGGCGCTTGCTGTATTTCCAATTAAGGTAAACAAGTACGCAGTTTGAGTTGAAAGATTAATTAAACAAACATCCACTACTATATTTCTTCTTTAACTCGTGAGTGTTCAACTTTTTTCCCATTATCGAATAGTCACGCCGGGACTTTCGTGGATCTCGGGCGTTCTATCAGGACCTTTCTAGATATAATATAAGTTTGATTTGCTAAACAAATTCATCAATATCTATTACCTTATCCGTTTTCGCCATTTGTTAATTTGTACAATTTGCAAATCGTGACAAAGGCACCGGATTTTAGTCGATGATTCGAATCAACATTTTCTGTCTGCAATTCAAATGACAACGTTACGGTGCAACAATAGAATTATACCTTTGCCTTTTGCGCGCTTTTCAAAATGGCGGTAATTGTTTGGCGCTTAAATTTCGATTTAATTGTTGTAGTATTTGTAAGGTTATATTTTAAAGATTTTTGATTGAGAATAGAATCAATTATTATTATTGTAGGAATTATTTAATCAATTATATTTGTCACTTCATCAAAATTCATACCGAAACCGTGCTACAGCGGTCATTCATTTTTTTGTTGAGGTTATAACTGCACATTTTTAAGAGTGCCAGTAAATGTGATTTCAATTGTTTCTGAAGCAGATATCAAGTGTGGGGTGTTCATTAATTATATGAAATTAAATACAAATTGCGGAAGTTTGTTCTACACCTTAGGCATTGTGTAATGGGATTGTCACAGGCGGGAGGTAACAGGATAGTTTCTGTGCCCGGGTTCCGGGAAGCCTTGCAGCTACCACGGTCGTCTCTGGTTTATGGTACAATGCAATTTGCGGTGTCCCACATTCTAATATACTGCATAATAAAATGCTTCATTAGAAAGCATCGCTTTATAGCACTTAGTATTTATGGCCGGTGAGATTGTCTGATTTATATTGCGGTTGACAAGTTATTCGATTTTATTGTTTTTATCTTGTTGGTCACGGAATATCGCTATTTCACCCTTCATTGCAGTATCTGATATAATTGTAGTACTTCTAACACCTTTCCTTTAAGCTCTTCTAATTTATTGAATTAAAACGTCGATATTAAAAGGTAGAGACAAATCCCAAAGTTGAAATGTGATATCTGCAATTTGTGAATCTGCAAATGTATAGGCCGCCAACTTATTTTAAACATTTGCGAAGTAAATGAATTGTTCCACCATACTCTCGAAACGTTCGTATTGACAATGAAATTTAAATTTAAGAACTTTAGGCATTGTCGTAAGCTCTATTTTGGCATAGCATGGCCGTGACGATGTCTGAGCCCACCTACTGCTGGGTTTAATGATGGAAGCTTCTCGCCTCCGTCTCGTCACGCACGGCGTCTCGCCGCTCCCGTGGCGCTCCCTTGCGGAAGCCGATATTACACGCTCCGTTTAGTCGCCTCCGCACGTCTGCCCGCCTGGTACTTTGCCTGCACAAATAAATGGCGTAAAACATATTTCCGCATGTGTATTAAAGAAAAATAATTTTAAAATATAAAAAGAATCACGTAAACAAATGAGGTAGGCAGAAATTAAAGATTTTCATTTGCACCTCTTACATTTTTTATGTTTTTAATTCAAATTTAGTTTCCATGCTTGGATGGATAGACCTTTTTGAGCATAGATAGATAAGTACTTGTAGTTATATTTCTAGTTAGTATGAGGGATGTGCTTATCCAAGTTAAAATTTTCTGAAGTAGAAAAGGTTGTTATATTACAATTTCATCGATGTCATTAAGTCTTCGACGGGTTATTTACGTAATAAGCCCTAAGGACGTAGTTCCTTTATAAAAGAAATAAATTCACACTGTATTTCGATTTCGCTGAAAAGAGCAAACGATTATTAGAGTTCAATTAATAAGGGTATGTAGTTGAGATAAAAATATCTATGAAGTGACAATAATTCAACCAGACGACTGAGATCTATCGAAGATGTCCTCATTATGAACAAAAACGTCTCCGATCCTTATTCGTCGATAACTGCGTCGTGTCTGGCCGCGTCAAAATTGCTACTTGTGATTTATGAGAATGCGGTTACTGAACATAGTTCTCAGACCGCTGGAGCTAGGAATGTATAATAACCGAGATAAGAACGCCCTTACAACGTTATAACATTAACACTGAATACTTACCCTATTAACTGTTTCTCATGTTGAAACACAACGAAAAAGATGGCAACATGCAATGTAATTTATTTTCAGCGAATATGAAAAAATAAACATTAAATCTTTATCCTAAAAAAATGGCCTCATAAAGAGGTTCTATTTCGTTCGTATTCGTTTTGAAATTACTCCTTGCGGTCTGTGATAACTCTTTATCCTCGATTGATAAAGCAGTAATGAATGTAATATTAAAAATTATGTAGAACAATAAAGCTCTACTTTCCCTTCGCTGTGAGTTGTTTGCTTAAAATATAAGTAAATAATAACAGGTCTTCATTTTCTTCACTTCCATTTATCTTACAAATGCCAAAAGAATGTTGCACGTAAAAGGATAAACAAAAAAGTCCGACCCAAAGTGCTTTAATATCTATGCCATTGGAGTGGCAGGAAAGTATGGCGGTAATAACACTTTCTCGAAATGTATCGTTTTTAAAGTAAACTTTAGGGTTGACACTTTCAGGCTGCAAGGTAACGATTTACACATTGTTAGATATTAGATTAACCTTGTGGTTAACACTAGATAATCTGTATATCAGAAAAATGTAGCAATCTGTGATACATCGGTATAACCATAAATATTTTAAAGAAAAATTCCCAGATAACTTATGAAATTGAAAGGTTGAGTGGTAACTGGGGTTCTATTGTAAAAAAAATTGTAGTGAAATAAAATAATAAGAATGTAAATGTCGAAGTATTTTTAATCTTTTATTGCGGCGCATTTGTCTATCAGATATTTTCTTATATATACTTTTCATATTTGCTAACCCTAACATAATGTAAAGTTTTCGCTGAGACGGCCCTACTATCTACAGGAGCGATAGTATAAAATACAGATGATTTTAACAGACTAAGCATAACTTGTTAGTCACCAATGATACCTTAACCTTAAGTCGCTTACATATTATGAAATACAAACTCTACAAGTACAACAAACGGTGAATAAAACGCTCGCCGACCTAAGAAAACATACATCAGACAGATCGAGCAGAGAATTAATTTACAAAGGCATTGACATACGACATTTATGCGTCTATTGTACAAAATCTTGTCTTACGTATGATTCTACATTTTTAGGGTTCCTTATAGGATAATTTTGTTGTCCGTCCGTCCGTCTGTCAAG